TTCTTATTTATACCTTATCATTGGATTAATTTACTCTTTAAAGCAGTGCAGAAATGTGAACCTATATAATTTACAGAACCATTTAAATTTTAATATTGTTAGCACTTATAAATAAATATTGAAGTATGTATGTTTATTATTAAATAATTTAATTTTTAAGTTTTAACTATACAATTTTATTAGTTCATTCAGTTCAAAGACGGTTAGGTACCTACTTGTAGGTGTAGGTTCAGCATAGGTAACATTATCTTATAGCGAGAAGTAATAATTGATACCCCACCAATTTTGATATGTTACCTATGATCTACCAACTGCATTTATGCTTCAATAGACTACAGGCAATTGAATAAAAATATTATTCAAAATGCTATGTCTCACATGGTTAAAGAAATAAATATATTATATATTTTAAATTTTGAGCAAAACTATGTGTTTTTTATTTATTTTTTGTATGTTATGCTGTCRAAATAATGCTTCAATTTTCAACTTCAGTAGCTTTTTTCCGGTAGGAAAGTGAATCTAGTTAATGCATTCGGGAGATAAAATTAAAAAATAAGGTTTCACATAAATAATTAATTCTGCAACAAAAATATCTAAAAACCATACACGGTCCAATTTTGAATGAAATTATATATTAATAATAACCAAGAAAAACAATTTTAGTTATATTTTTATAATTTAAAAATATTATTTATGGGTAGGCGGTAGCTGCAATTTCTAGAGTATACTTTATATCTTAATTGTATATAGGTACTATGAATGTCTAAGGGAGTCGAGTACATAATCATCTGATCTGATAAATTTGGAATTTTTTTTTAGGTACCTTCGTTTTTTTTTTAAATAATAGCAATATGATTAATATAGTATTAAACATCTTAGTAGACTGACAAACCTAAAACCCTYTGAGTATATACCTATATTTAATCTGAGTCAGAATTATTCTCAATATATCATTTTATTCAAATTTWATACCATCCATTACAGTAACCTATTGTATAGCACAGCGAAATTTTTTAATAATGAATGATAATATTTTTCTGTAGATTGTGGGCCAGCGATGTCCATTACATATCGTAACTAATGGGCTGAAACCTTTCTCCCACCATTGACCATATTATTACTTTTTTTTTAATACCTATTTATTAATTTATTATTCATCAAGTTTCAATTGACTATAACCAATTAATAAACAAGGATATAAATTCATATATGTCATACAGAAATGGCAGACTAGCCAATAACTAATAATATATACCTAGTTAATAGGTTGGATGAATTTGTTTAAAMAATAAATTGTATTTGACTGCAAATTTATGGTGGTTTTGTCAAGGTTTGTACTTTAGATGCTTAAAAGCTACAAAAAAACATTGTGTCTATGTATTGTTAATATTTTAAAAAATCTTTAATTAATATAAATGAAGAAGAAATGAGAACATAATTACACATGTTTTTTAGTTTTTGACCAAACAAAAATTTTTTTAACTAAAATTAATTAATCAAATATAATCCAAGCCAAAAGGTATGACCAAGGTTACTAAACAATTTTAATACATTTTCATTTACCTAACTATCTATTTTTGTTTTTCAATTATTTTAAAAAGTACTGAGAAAAATTTCAAATTTGATCTCCCAAAAGAAAGATCTAGATCCAACTCGCTTCCAAATATCTCCATGGATATTTATGATCAGAGCTTTTTTTTTTTTTTTGGAAAAGTTTTGATGTTGAAATAAGTTGAATTAAGCATTTGCACAAATATTTTCAAATACCTACCTCACCTAAACGTCTGTAATTATTAAACTTGGATAAAATAAAAATAAAATTGTAATTAATTTTCAAGCCCCACCCCCACCATTCAAAAATCCTTCTTACGCCACTGCATACTATAACACAGTATAAAATATATTACTATACCTTTATAATGTTTATATGATGTGGTTAAAACGGTTTGAAATTCTTAAGCTACATATAKGTAGTGCGAACGTTTTAACTTTTAAAACGATTAACATTTTTTAAATATTTAACGTCATCATAATAAACTTAATAAYCTACTATGAATATCGATTATCGATATTAACGTTTCACTTTTGAGTCAAATACTTAAACACTCAATAGATATTAGGTAGTAAGTACGTAGTATATACCAATCTAGCATAAAACTGTGTAAAATGTGAATAGTGAATTTATCTTCGAGAAATAAATAGTCGATAACTAAAAATTAATGATGTAGTTTTTAAAATTATAAAATATAATAATAAACATTAGTTTCCTCAATCCCCAAAAATAATACTTTCTGAATTGCAAGAAAAAAAAAGCTGGAAAGTGGGTATCGCTCTGCTGTACATTAGGTGGTGGGTTGGACCTCTGGGTAGGTAGGTAGGTTAGATTTGAATGCAATGATAGGTATCATTGTATATGAAAAACGATTCTGAACGGAGATGATTTGTCAGTCTAGGATATATTATATTTAAATATTGTCATATATTCTATTTTGAAACAAATATTTTAT